TTTTCCCTTGTCCTAGATTGTTGGCATCATCACGCGGCACAACCTGACGTCCGAGTTCCTGCAGGCCCGCCTGCGGCAGCACTACCAGACCCTCTGACAGCCTGCCTCGCTGCCACCACCAGCCCCCCCGCTCGCACTCCGGCTGCTGCAGCCGGCTGGGGCTGTTCTAGGGCACGGGGTTCCTGGCCACCCACCTGCTCAGAACTGGGTCTCGTGGAACGCTTTGCTGGTCAGAGGTCCTGGGGATGACATTGAACCATCAGAGTGTGGATTTTCCCGACTTCCTCAGCAAGTACCTTCCTCTTTCCTGCTCCCTGTGTTCCTGCCCGTGTTGGCACAGGCCTGCCCCGGCCCCAAGAGATCAGGACTGGAGGGGGAAGTCAGGTTGGATCCCCAGGGCACGCGTGGAGCAGTTTCTTGCCCCACATTGCTTTCCTGGACAGCCCAGCTGCTGCCTTAGTCCTCTGGGAGGAGCATGGGTCGAGGCGCACCCGGGGGATGCCATTTCCAAAATCAGGTTCATTACTAAGTTTAGGAATCGGGCACCCGGAAGATTCCCCGTGTTCAGGGGCCACTTTGTTGGGACTCTTCACTCGATCCTCCTCCCTTGGGACTGCTCACTTGATGTCTTCTGGTTCATCTAAGGGAACCTGTGTGCTCTCGGGAATGCGCAGGTGCTCTGCTCTCCCCTCAGAACCTGCCCTCTGGGAGCACTGCAGCTGGAGATGAGGAGTCCAGTCACAGGGTCAGATTGACCCCACCCTGTCTCTCCATTTGCAGATTGCTCCAGGTCTTCCAGGCCACATTTGTCCCCTAACAGTCTCCTATCCTTTCATCTCCACCATTTATTAGATTTTCTAAGTTTTTATCTCCGTCTCCCTGATGAGAGGGCCCCATCTCAGTCTTGACTCACCCTCAAAGTCAATCAAAACCAGAGCCCCCCAGACTAACCCTCTTCCTGGAGCCCCAGGGAGTAGGTTGTTCCTGGAGCCGGCAAGAAGTCCACCTGAGAGGGCAGTCCCTCAGAGGCTCCTGTAGGAGGAAGCAGGGGCTGCTTGCAGGAGGAGGTGGCTCCCCTTCACGGTCATCTCACTCCCCTGCTGCCGACCTCCCCATCCTCCTGAGGGGCTCAGGGACAGGGGCTCAGCAGGGTCTGCTGCGCTGCAGGGGTGGGGCGGGGGAGATGCTTCCCGCCTGCAGGTGCCTGAAGGCTTTAGTGGTGACCAGAGGAAGCACCCTGCCTGCTCTTCCAGGACCCAGAAGATCTGGATGGGACGTTGGCACCCATCTTCCTCCAACTTCTACATGTCTTTTGGCATCGTGGTCCCATCAGGTGTCCCTCTAACAGCTGTTTTTTGGGACTCGAGATGGTGTTCATTTGCATTTAGTGTTTTTTAAACCATGAAATTGCCCCATGGCATCTGTGCCCTGGGCCTGGCTTCTTGCAGCCTGGGCATGGTGTCACTCCCGGCTTGGCCGGCCTCATGCCCCGCCCATTCTAGAGAATCATTCTGTGTGCAGGTGGGCTTCAGGGCCTTTTCCAACTGACCAAGGCCTGTGGCCCTCCAGTTGCCCATTTGTTTATCCTTTTGACCAAAATGATGTTGACTTCTCCATTTGCAGCATCTCTGGACGCAGGCTTGTGTATTGGGGTGACACTCCCAGTGACTAGTTCAGGAGCTCAGAGCACTTTTCACGGGGTGTGTTCATCTGGTTGCAGCTTTGTACTGTGCTGCTCAGAGCTTGACCCTATTTTTTCCTTTTACTGAGAACTGGTTTTATTAAGCCAGTTGCCCAAGGCAGGAGAACCAAGTCACTGCCTGTCAGAGGACCCTCACCCCCTGGCCCTGCCCAGTGTGGGGACCCTAGGCCTCAAGGGCTGGGCCGCCAGCCACCTGCCTCACTGAGGCTGTCTGGATGCCACTGTTGGACTTCATCCCTTGAGCACATCAAGTTGTTCTGTTGATCAGTTTAACCCAGAAATAGATAGTAGAGTGCAGACGCCTCCCTCGCCCTGAGCCAGTCACTGGCCACCAAGGAGGCCCCCAGCACAGGCCTCCTAAAGGCGTGTGGATTCCTGGACTCCTCCTGTCTGCACCTGCCCCTCTCAGAAAAGCCCAAAGATGACAACTTCTCCACTTGTGACCAGAAATCGTAAGCCTTGCTCCTTGGATTTCTGTGCAGTAGAAACCAGCGCCCGCAGAGTCTCACTTGTTAACAGCCCTGCAGCTGCCTCGGAGATGGGCACCTGGATAAGGCATCTGCAGGGGGGAATCAGGTCACCAGAGGGGCTCTTTGCTCCACCTCTAGCTGAGGCAGTGGTGTGACAGGTCTCCAGTCCTGGTGGAATTTTGCCCTTTGGGGGATCTCTGCTCATGCACGATCTTGTTTGCCCTGGTGGGAATGGAATCTTGCTTGGCCCAGACAACCACGTGACAGTTCTGATGCAGAATTGTGTGCTGACTGGGCCCCTGGTAACAAGGAGGCTTCAGGAAAGGCCACTTGGCCCTCAGTATTGACATGCAGTGCCGCCCTCAGCCCTGCTGACCTTGGGCGTCCCTCCTCCGCAGCCGCCTCCTTTCTGTTTGCACTGTTTGTTTACAAGGTAACGTGAGCTAATTCCACTGTGTATATGAATCGTATTTTTTTTAATTTGTAAAATTCTATTTTTATTTGAATTTTTGGAACTTGGAAGTTCTCATGGTAACTGTAACATGTCAGAGTAAAACGTCTGCCTGTCTCCGGTAGCCTGACTCCCGCTCTCTTTCTTTCGAGGGTGCTGGCTTTTAGCTTGTTCCCTCTCTTTCTAAAAGGCCAGTGTTCGGGTGCTGGGAGGTGTCTCGGCCTCAGCTCCTGTGGCTGCCCGGCCGCCTCTTCACCCTCACAGTGGGCTCAGCTGGATCAGGCCACCCACTGCCTCAGTAAGCACCTAGGTCCTGCATATGTCACCAGGTCACCTCTGGTCCTTCTCTCACAGGAACACCAGTCCACCCCAAGTGCTCATTTCCTGCCAGTGTTGTGTTTAGGGACTTGCCGCAGAAGGACTCCTCAGAACTCTGCCCAGAAGAACCAAGCCAGCTCAGCATCTGTGGATGTCACCACCCCGGGCGGCATCTGGCAGTGCCATCTGTCACTACTCTTGGTTCACTTGCTTTTTGTTTTGCAGGAACTGTCTCTGCGTCCTGCCCCAAGTCGCCCTGCCACCAGTGACAGCCCAGTCTGGCCCTTGCACCCACCCCTCACCCCTGCCTTCTCCAAGTTCAGGGACTTTCTGCTTCTGTGTTTGCCATTTTGGGTCAGTTCCAGTCAGCCAGCGCTCCCTCGCCAGGCGACACCTCTGGAGGGTGCCCGACTGCCTCCCTTTCCCTCCTAGCAACCCGACCCCTGGTGCCCGGCCTCTGAGCCAGGCGTGGAGCGATACTGTGCCGCTCTATGCTTGTCCTCCTGAGTCACTCTGTGCTGCTTGGTTCTCTGCCCTCCTGTATTTGAAGGCCAAATAAGGAGCATCTGGGACATGATTCGAGCTCTTCCCTCACCCCCGCCTCTTACCACCGTTCACTCTGGGCCTCCCCTTCCCTCTGGCAGGGGCACATTTACTTGGTTTCCTCTTCCCAGTTTGTACAAGACAACGCGGCCAGCAGTCATGAGCGTCCAAGATGCGAGGACTGCAGAGTGTTCCCCTCCTGGCACTCACAGTCACACGCCAAACCCCGGCGTAATAGTCACAAAAGGGTTTCTGTAAAAAGACTTGGGGCTACTGGGCACATGGTGTCAGGGAAGAAGTGGCATCTCAATGAGCCTCGGGGTGAGGAGCACGTCTTGGGGGCCCAGGTAGCAGGCCTCGGCTGGAGGGAGCAGCAGAAATAAGGCCCCAAGGGGCAGGTGTGTGGGTAAGGGGCTCGCTAGAGTACCAGAACTTGCAGAGGAGGGCTGGTGGCTGGGGCGACAGGTAGAGGGCCAGGGGAATACCGCGCCCTGGTTAAGGTGGAGTTTCCTGCTTAGGATAAGACCCTTTCCAGATGTAGACACAAAAACACTGCCTCCTCCCCAGCAGCTTGCACCTGGTGCCATCCACAAGTCCAGGCACCTTGGGCCTGAAGAGAAAAGACTATACTCTGGTAGGTAGTTCACAAAAGGCACGGGAACTCACGGCCCCTGGTGGCCCTGATGGCCCCTCACGGCCCCTTGGCACAGCAAACCTTTCTTCACTTTGCTCAGCCGTTGAACCCAGTGCACAGCCAGCTCTGAACCAAGCTAGAAGGGTGATTGGCTTGGCTGCCGCAGTGAACTCTCTTAAATGAATCAGATAAAACGTAGCTAATAGCCTCATGTTCTAAATGTGCCCTAAACAAAACAAATACTCTAACCCATAAGCAGTAGGGATGCAAGTGTTGTCTGTTGAGTGCGGCTGCGGTAGCTGTAACCAGGAGATGAAATGGAGAGGTTTGTGAGTTTTATTTTCGATCAACAATGCCCTGAATGTGAGCAAGTCTGGAGAAGTGCCCTTTCAGTCTCAGGGACTTTCTGGGTTCTGGGGCTGAGGCTGTTGAGGAGGCGGAGCAGGTTGGAAGCTGCAATTTGAGGTCCCCACCTCCCACCAAAAATAAAGGGGGGTGAAAGAGGAAGAAAGAAACAGCATTCTCATTCCAGACAATGGCCTACTGGGCTCCATTGTTCTCCCTTGGAAACTGGAAAAAAAAAAATACACCCGGGGCTCGGCTTCTGTCCGTGGTGCTGAAGTTTATTGGTTTTGCAAGGCTTTCAGTAGTAGGTGGGGTTGACAGTGACGCGTGGGGTGGAGCGCAGAGGAGCCACAGCTAAGCCACTTGATCTACATTTAGCATCAGATGTGAGAAATGTTGACAGGAAGTTGAAGCTCCAACAGTGTGCTCATCCCGACTCAGTGGCAATGTGATGAGACCAAACTTGGTGAGACCCCTGGTTGAGGGTCTCCTGCAGACTGCCCGGCCAGGCTGTTATCTTCCGTACTACAAAGAGAAAGACATTCGGCTTGGCGATCTGGCTCTACTAGAGGGTCAGCATCATAGGACAGTGTCAAACCTTTTACTTGACCTTCGGGCAGCTACTCCCCCGCCCCCGTGCCCCCTCCAGCTTAGTGATCTCTGAGTTCCATTGAACTCAGAGGAGCAATCCTTGTCATTGTCACCTAGCTCCCGCAGGATCTTGCAGTTCTGGAAAGAACACGAATTGCTAATTAGCAGAGCAAAGGGGACTTCACCCTGTATTTTAATTGTTCAATGCTGTGGTAGTAACTTTTTTTTTTAAAGCATTTTTCCAGCAGGCTACAGCTGAGTGTGATGACATTGTTCTGAGACTTGTGGGGCACCCCCCAAGTCGGGGTAGAAACTCAGAAGGAGTTATCTTCTCACTGGTCCCCTTCCTGTAGAAGTCCCCTGCTAGTACTGCTATGGCAATGCGACCCCATCTTCTTCCCATCCTGTTCCCAACTCCAGATCTTCTTACCCGGAAGCTGTTACAGCCCAGGCCACTGTGGGCTCCAATCCTGTCCATCCTTCCCCCGAAGCAGCTGGATCTCGGCAGGCTCCGAGGGGCCGTCGGCTTGTTTCTCAAGAGGGCAGAGCGATCAGCAGAGTCCCAGGGGTCCGGCCCGGGGCCAGCCCCATCTCCCTGGTCTGGGCTGACCTCCCCGGTCCAGGAAGCCTCCTCAGGGACATCTGGCCCTGCTTCTTCATTCTGCTCGCCTCGGACTCGCAAGGGAACCTCACTTTCTAAAGGCATCTTCTCCTCCAAACGCTCTAGCAAATTCTTCACAAAAGGAAAATACAGGGGGAAGGGAGGGGTCTCGTTGACTTGGAGAGAATGGAAAAGAACCAGCCCAGCACTGGAAAGCCCCCTGGTGCCAGGCTGTACCTCCTTCCTGGCCCTACCTTGAATTCCGCCAGGTCTGCGCTGGACACGGCGCTGTACACAGGCTTGGCTCCTGCTTGGCCTGGAAGCTGGAACAGCAGGAAGAGGAGGAGGCTCACGGCGACGGCGGAGAAGGATCCCATGCTGGTGGCGGTCGAGGGGCGGTGGGGTGCTTGCTGCCTCTTCTCCCTCCTCTCTGGCTCCCCTTCCTTGGCCTGCATCCGTCACTGTCTCTGCTGCCCAGCGCCTCCCGTTTTTATAGCCCCTGCCGTCTGAGCATGCAGCAGGGCCAGAACCTCCCCATTCTGTCACTTGCAGTGATAAAGCGGCAGAGTGAGGAGCCCGCCGAAGATGCCCTTTTAAAGTTATCAGCCAGCAGCGCTGTCACGGCCCCTGCGCCTCGGGCCGCTCCCGCAGCCCCCCAGATCCTCTGCTGCACGAGCCACATTCTTGCTGATTTGCCTCAAGAGGCCCCCACTTCAAAGGTGTGAGAAGAGCAAAAAAGAGTCCTTGGTTATCTCCCGCCGCGCCCCGGGATTCTTTCTCCTCAGCAACGGGGACCCACGCGGGAAGCAGAGGGTGGCCGCTGGCCGGGGCCCAACTGCCCCTGTCTGCTGGTGGCTCAGTGTCAGGGGCTCCAAATAAGGGTGGGAGAGGAGGGGATGGCAGGCGGCCAGGGGCTCGGGCCCAGGAAGTGCAGGCGGGTGCTCGGCTGCCTTCACACCTGATTCATGGCTGGGGGTGGACCTCTGGCTGCAGACCGTGCCCTCACCCCTGGGCGTCCTTCTCAGCGGTCAGGTGAAAGGGAGTCATTTTTTAGAGTATTAGGTCAGCTGGGAACAAATGCGATGAAGGTTCCAAGAATTCCGCTGGCAGAGGAGTGGGGGGACGCACTGGTCCTCTCCAGAGCTGCTCCTCCTTCACGTCCCCCGGGCGCCCCCGCCCCAGGTGTGCAGGGGACAGGCCTGGAGGAGGCGCCTCTTCATCTCCCCACCTTGCTGCTTGGGGACTGCTGGGAGCTTGCGGCGGCCCCATCCTCTCCAGTGCGGGGTCCCGCCCTAGCCGGGTCCAGGGAGCCCTGAAGGATGAGTGGCGTCGGCGAAAAGAGCAATCTCCAGAGAGAGAGGCTCTAATGCAGCTTTCTCTGGGTCATCTTTTATTGCAATTTTTCTCATCGTTAGAAATTCAGAATACATCATTGATTAAATAATTTAAAACTTTGCCAAGACATGACATTTCCTTAACCATGATTGGGGTACAAAAAAATGTAACATTAATTTACATTTTTCCAGTATATGCCCTTTAGTTATTTAATTATTAAAAGTACAGAATCGGGGGCTGGGATGTGGCTCAGTGGTAGAGCACTTGCCTAGCACGTGTGAGACCCTGGGTTCCATCCTCACCACCACATAAAAATAAATAAAATAAAAGTATTGTGTCCAACTACAACTAAAAAATAAAATATTTAAAAAATTAAAAATAAGAAATAAAAGTACAGAATCATTAATAAAATACGTCACTAATTTACATTTTTCAGATTTTCCCAAGATTTACTATTTTCCTCAAGATATGCTATTTTCTTATTAACTAATGCCAAACTACATAACCAGACTCTAAGTCTTCTAACCTATCATTAACCTTTAAGTTTAAAGTACACTTGTACTTTATTTCTAATCTAAAATTCCCATCTAAAAAAAGTCCCCTTAAATCTTATATTTAAAACATCCTAAAGTTTATAAATCATTCTTAAAACATATCAGAAACCCATACAACTAAAAACTTAAGAATAGAAAAACTTAAGAATCTAAATAAAATAATATTTCTAACATTATTCTAAAACTGTGTCTTATAAAGCTATTTTAATTAATTCCTAAATTTATTCTCATAAAACTGGTTGAGCTGCTTTCTCAAAGAGTTTCTTGGTTTCTCAGTCAAGGTGCACTAGTTCTCATATCTTTATAATCTTTCTCAATAGAAAGTAAGTTCTAAACATCAGTCCACTTTCCACCAATATTAACTATGCTCATCATAAATTCCTATGTAAAGTAAAAAGGGGTTATAAAAAGAGAAGAATATATCTTTATATGTTTTAACTTTCCTAAGTGTATAATGTAACTTTCCTTAACCAAAAATGAGACCACATGGGGTGAACTTTGTAAAATAAGCATAATGATTAGGTTTTCTAAGAGGCCAGAAATATGGGCTTGGGTTCTAGTTGATATAATCAATGTGGTGCCTAAAATTCTCATGACCTTTCAGAGGATGATTGTCGTCCATTATCAGGTTTGTCCTCAATGTGCTGAGGTAGAAGAACAGCCTTCTCCTTTGTCCTTGACATGCTGAGGGGTAGTAGAACAGCCTCCAAGGCATGAACTACCTGTTATGTTCTAACCATCTGAAATGTAATTTGTTTGGCATTTAACATGCTCATGCCTCCTGTCAGGAACATGAGCATGGAAATGAAAAGTCCCAATTACACAAAAAAGGGTCTCATGGTCTCGGTTTCCCACCAACCAGCGCGGCTTGGCCGGCGCTTTTTCTCACTGTGACCCTGCAAGACAGTGAGTGGGGGATGGCCTTCACCACTCCAGGAGGGCAGCCAGGGCGAGTTGGCAAGTGGCCTACGCCGTTCCCCTTCAAGCCGTTCCTCTGGGAGGCCAGGCCAGTGACTGCGCCACAGAGGCTCAATTCCCTGAGCCCCACAGGAGAAAGGACTGGCAGTGAGGCGCCCGCCTTGAGAGAGTGGCCTCCAGTTGCTGAACACCACACTGGGCCGGCTCAACAGGGCGCATGGCAGAGGGAGGTGAATTTGAAGGGTTGAGAGACCTGTATCTTGGCCTCCAACAAACCAGTCCCCTACATCTGGAACAGTGGGTGATGGTGATGGTCACCCTTATTGGTCACTCAGGATGTGCTCGGCCCTGTGTTGACGGCCATATGTGACCATCTCATTTCAACCCCTAGGAGGTGGGTGCCAGTGTACCATTTTCAGAGGGACAAATCCCAGGGTGGAAGCCCAGGGGTGACAGTGCTCACATTCTCAAGCCATCTCGGCACACTGCTGCCTCTCTGCCCCGTGGGTGAATTCCCCAACGAGACACCTCTCGGGTGCCATGAGCAGCTCCCACCTTCCCCTGCCCTGCGGCTGTAGCTGTGCACTTGGTGGCTGTCCCCCTCTCTGACCGTCACAGGGAAAGGGCCACTTCTGATCTCCATGACCTGTGTCTGCTCCCACTGTGATTGAGACCGCTGGGAGGCTCAGGATATCCTGGCCAGGTCCACCCCAGCTGTGCTGACCCCTTGGTTGTCCAGATGGAGAAGCTGTTAGATAGCCACAAGACAGCGAGTCAGGGCAGCAAACGGCCAAAGGTCACAAGAGGAGCCTGAGGTGATTGTATTCTAAGATGGAAGGAAATGGGGACCCTCTTCAGCCATCTTGAGGGTTTGAGCATCTTGAAATCTGAAATTGGTACAACTCTAAGTAGAAGATCTGAGCCAAAAATCCATCCTGATGAGTCTCTGGAATGTACTCACAGCTTAATTACTCGGCTGCAGGGTTATTAATAGCAAAAGGGATTCAGCATACAGCCACACGGGGGACCGGCCCCTTGCTGCGCGCACCACACGGCGCATTTCCTGGAGATGCTCTTTGAGACAGGCCTTTGATGCAGGCAGAGTCTTCCAGAAAGGCATTATGGCATAGCTTGACCTCAGAGGGACAAGGCTGCCCCTCTCCTGGGCCAGGTCTGAGGTTCACAGGTGGCCCCAGGAGAGCAGAAGTCCCCCTCCAAGCTTCTGGAAAGAGAATTTCAGAATTTGCCCATCTCCTTTTATCAAAATCCATCTTCTTCTTCCAGTGAAACTGGAGTGGGACGTGAGTGCCATTCGTCAGGTTTCTTTTATGACCGTATTTTACTGGGGAGGGGAAGGCTTTGTGTAGAACCAGAGTCACCTTCTACAACAACAGAGCCAGGTCAGACCCAGACAGCCTTCAACAGCATCCCCCCAAATTCTAATAAAGCCCTGATTTGAATCCGAAATGGTTTAATGTTGAGTTCCTCGTCATATCCCTGCTCAACTTCGGGGAGCCTTGTGCAGACACAATACTTAGTGGACTATGGAGAAGCCACCTGTGGGAGTGAGAAGAGGAGCCACAGGCACAGGAAGCCGGGCCCACTGCCTCCCCACCGCCCCTCCAGCTGGACAATCAGCTGGGCCTTCCTTTTCCTCTGGAAAGAGCTCATCTTGGTCCTAGGGTGGAAGGAATGTGGCCAATAGGTGCAGAATCCATAATCTGGGTCTCTCTAGTTTCTGGTCTGGAGTTTGGTTTCACGACTCTCCCTGGGGGGTGCTGTGGGCTGCTGCAGGGATCCTTGAAGTCCCAGCAACGCCACACCTGTGCCGACCTGGCAGAAGAACCCATCACATTGGTAGCATGATTCTATCAGACCCCAGTGGTCTAAGGCAGAAACCTCACTTGGGAGAAGCCGGTTGGAATCTACAGGATCTAGGAATGGCTGTTCCTGACTTTGAAATCAACCTACTGTTTCTTTGGTACAATATGGAGGACCCTGGGGGCTGAAAGATAGGGACCTGATTCCCTGGAAAACAAAGCCCAAGGCAAAATTTCACTTGCTAAGGCTTTGTGGGGGTGCCAACCCCACGGAAATGAGAGTGAGGGGGAAAGGGAAGTGAGGGAGTGTGTTAGTTAGCCATTGTTGCAGTAACAAGCAGCCCCCAACCCTGGCAGCCTTCAGCAACACACCTACTAGCTGACCACTGATGGCTGTGGATCAGGGTGAGAACCAGCTGGGCTGGTGTCTCGGGCTCAGGGCTCTCGTGGGCCGCCGCGAAGATGCTGCTGGGTCTGTGGTCATGGCAAGGCCTGCTGGGGAGGATCTGCTGTCGGAGAAGCAATGGACTTCCGTCAGGTGGGGGAGGAGGGAGGAGAGAAGGGGAGCTCTGGAAGCCTCACCATGAGGTGAGTTGCTAGGCTCTGCTCATAGGCCAAGGGGGAGGGTTCCACAAGGGCCGGAGAACGGGGGTGGGGTGGGGGGTGGGGGGGGTGATGTCGTCCTTGGGGACCATCTGAGGCTGCCCACACAGGAAGAGAGGAAATGAAAGGTGACATGTGACCCAGCCGGCCACAGTGGGTGGTCACACTGGACCCATGCAGAGTTCACAGAGAACTGCTCAGAGTCGTCCCTGAGAAGAACACAGTGGGGCTTAAGTGACAGGAATGCGTTGCTCCCAGTCCTGGAGGCTGGACATGGGAGAGCGAGTGCTGCCAGGGCCCTGCTCCTTTGGAATCTGTAAGGGAGTCCTCTCCTCCTCTCCTCAGTTCTGGTGGCCGTGCCTGGCATCCTAGGCTCGTGGCTGCCACCCTCTAGTCTCTGGCCCCGACAGTGCGAGGCTTCCTTGCCTCCAGGTGTCTGCTGCTCTGGGCTGTCTCAGGAGTCCCCCGGCACCAGCATGTCTACGCATTAACTCGTTACACCGCTAATGACCCTATTTTCAAATAAGGTCACATTCTGAGGTTCCAGGGGCT